ATAAATTCCTGAACAAATCTCTGAAAACAGAAAAACACTATGGTATAGTATTTCACTGTGATCAAAAGTTGACCTACCAAAAAAGTTTATATTTTCAGAATTTTAACAACAAAAATGGACATAGCTAAGTATTTTAAGGCAAATGAGTGCATTTTTAGTCATTTTTGAGAAACTTTTTTTTCGGAGATTTTTTCCGGAACTTATTGCTATGGTATCTTACTGTGCTCAAAAGTTGGCGTACCAAAAAAAATTTTTTTTTCTGAATTTTAACCACAAAAATGGACATAGCTAAGTATTTTAAGGCAAATGAGTGCATTTTTAGTCATTTTTGAGAAACTTTTTTTTTCGGAGATTTGTTCTGGAACGTTTTGGTATAGTAAATATTACATAAGTTCCTCCCGCTGCCGCTGTCGAAACTTCCACATCAAACCTACGAAAGCATGTGGAGCATCCGTGCTCTTGCCTGTGTTTCCCAAACGTTATGTTTATTGTGGAAAAAAAATATTAATGGGTGGCCACTAGGGGGAGTTAAAAATACCCTGAAAATATAATTTATACTACAGGTATTTTTTTTATTATATTTATATTTTTTTAGTGTCCAAAAAAACTGTTTAATTCTCTCTAACTCCCATTTACAACTAACATGTGTTTTAAAATAAAACAAATATTTAAATGTCCTAAAGGGGGCGGGGCAAGATCTCTCTCCTGTCCTCCCCACCTCTTTGGAACGCCACTGCAACGCAAAGACGATTAGACACAGTAACGTGTGTTTATGTGTGCGTGTCTGCCACACCTGAGTACGTCAAGAACTCCTCCAACTAGACAGACCAACAGCTCCACCCTCCTCACCCTCCCTCCCCCCCTCTCCCTCCCTCCCCTCTCCTTCTCCTTCTCCCTCTCCGCTGTTGTGAAATCCAACCATTCTCTCATCTCAAACTTTCATCCGGAGTCTGATCCTCCGCGCGGACTGAGCTCGAACAGAAACTGTTCGTGTACTCTGTGAGTATACACAACTCTTTTTTATTATTATTATTCCGTAGTACTTCAGGGTACGGTCCGTCCGCTCGGTCGCCGCTGTTTGATTACGTTTTTTGACTGTCGTTTTGACGCTCGCCCGTGAGAAGTTGTTTGTGTCGGACTTTCAGTGTGAAGCTGACGGAGTGAGAGTGAACGATGTGACGGTGACGGTTGTAAAACATCGGCTTTTCTATAAATACGTTTAAAATCCAGTTCAACGACGCGTTAATAACGAGTGACGTTAACGATCCTGAGGTCGATGTCGAGCTTGACTCTTGGCTTTGACTCCATTCCTGTGATCTGACTTTTCTTTTTTTTTTTCTTTTTTTTGCTCAGTTATTTCCAGCCTTTCTTGTCCTCCATCAGCAGGA